AGAAGGATTAGGAGAAGTCGCGTGTGGACAAAGGGACAAATTTTGACAATTGAAGGACACAATGGAGAGGAAAATGATGGGCCGAGTAACATGGTTACCGGTGCAGGAATTAATTAAAGGGTGGACTGATAGTGATGTCGAAGGATTAAATAGGAATGAAAAGATAAATAAACCGGAGGATGGAAATCGGTATAGAGGACTTTGAATATAATCAAATGTTAGGGCCAGAGGTCCAAGAGAAAGTTCGCAAGAAAGAAGAATGGAAATGAAACGAGGTTTTGATTCTAACGGAAGAAGGAATATGAATTCAAATTGTTATAATTGCGGAAGACAAGGACAAGTGGTCCGGGATTGACGAGAAACTAAATGTTTTGAATGTGAAAAATTTAGACATATAGCCCCGTATTGTCCGGGTAAACGAGAAAGGTTGCGTTGCGCGGGTTGTGTAAGATTTGGACACAATAAAGAGGAATGTAATACTGAAAATTATGATACCAGAGTGGGTTTTCCGTAGAGAGGAATGGGACAAAATACTTCAAATGTGCTAACTATTGAGAATGAGAAAATGGAAGGAATTGTGGGACATATTTTGGAGCATACCGAGGGGGGAGTGCTTTTGATGCCGAAAAAAGGACATGTGGCGGGAGAATGTGGGAATAGGTGACTCTATGATAGCGAGAAATATACACGGGTCAAGGCGAGGGGGTTAAAGGAGACAGGCAAATGGTGTTCTCATGAAAAATTAAAGTAATGGGGTATGTAAATATGATACAGGAAAGAATAGTACATGATCCTTGTCCGAGAGTAATGATAAATTTTAATGGGAGTATGGTAGGGGAGACCGGGGTAAAGCGATTGACGGGGTAACAATGTTAACGCGAATAACTTTTTAACCCTTGATCACAATGATTTTAAATTTGGTGTGAAAATGTATTTTTATATCTAATTTCTTACCTATGTTCATCTTTTAAAAAACTTACCTGGTTTTATATATTTTGTCAAAAAATTGTTTTTTACCCAAAAAATATAAAAATCATTCTCTAGTATATTTTGCTTTTAGTAAAATATACATATCCTCAGGATTCAAAATTTGGCACACATGTTCATTAATGTATTAGCTATAAAATAAAATTTATCTGACATCTATAGCTATATTAGAAGTCACGCAATAACGATATTTATAATATATGTCACCTTGGGGTAAAGCTGTTATGGGTAAAACGGTTAAAATATATAATTATTCACATTAAATTTTTCTTTCATTCATTTATTATAATTTTTATTGTATCAATCAAATAATGAGAAATTATAAAAGAAAAACAACATTCAGAGATGTAAGTATAATAGATGAAGCTATAAAATATAAAATAACAATAACACTTTATTGAATTTGTCTGCTAAAATATAAAATACCTGATACAACATTGAGAAGAAGATATAAAAATGGTATTTAAAGTTCAGATCATAAACAAATAATTACAAATTAAGAAGAATCTAGATTGGTCATTTATGGGATTAACGCCTAGACATAATTAAATTATATTGTTTGTATTTGAATTGAGTATTAATTAATAAATATATTATATATTTCAATTGAGCATTACTAATAAAGCTACCAAATTAATATTGAAATTTGAAATTATTTATTCAGAGAAAAAAAAAGATATCAAAAAAGAATTGTTTATGTGTCATTTGCAATAAAAACTACAAAAATAGATGAATGGTTAAAATGTACAATGTGCCTTGAATGGGCGCATTCTAAATGTGCTAATTATGATAACTACTTTACATGTCCTTATTGTATTGATTAGTTTGTAAATAAAAATCATAAATATATCTTAAATTTGTAATATTTGTTAAATAAAACGATAAATATATGTCAAATATTATTTTAACCACTTTACCCCAATGCTTATCCATTTTACCCTGTACCCAGGGTAAAATGGCGAAAATGAGTAGTTTGACATAACTAATCATAACTCTTAAAATATTATAGGTAGAGGGCTACTCTTTTTTTTATCTAGTAGATAAGGGATGGGGCTATACATTGAACTATAATTTGTTGTGTTTGACTTTTGTTTAAAATTTTTTTGATAAATATGCAAAATGCCTATCGTTTTACCCCGGTCTCCCCTACCAATGTTATTTGACACGAGAGCAGCCAATTCAGTAATTGGATATGATAAATAACGGATAATTTGGCCCGATGAGATAATCGAAAATGAAGGATTGAGAATACGGCAATTCAATGGATCACAAGTATCTGTAATGGGGAGAGTTGAAATAGAAGCGATATTGGGGGAAAGAGTGGAGATATTAGATTTGTGGTTTATTAATCAGAGGGTTTAAGCGGTAATGGGGTGGAACTGGATCACCCGAATAAGGCCATGGTATAGTTTTTGAGGAATATTTAAATGGTGGGGCGTGTTTGTACCTCTAACTAGACAAGATGTGTATGGAGACGTATCGGAGGAATCCTTAGAAGCATTACCAGAATTCGGGGCAGCGTTTAGTAGGTATAGAGAGAGAAGAGAGCGAGGAATTATCATAGAGATAAGGGGAGAAACTGAGAGTGAGAGTGAGAGGAGAGTATTCTTAGGAAATGAGGGAATAAGCGAAGTGAATTCTAAGGGGGGAATAGGGGTGCATGATTCTAGGGGGGAAATAGGGGAAAATATTTTTAAAAGGAAAAATGGGGGCAATAATAGGGGAGACTCATTGGGGAGCAATAGTGGTAACTCATTGGGGAGTAATCGGGGGAACTCATTGGGAAGTAATCGGGGGGACTCATTGAGAAATAATTGAGCGGACTTATTGGGGAGTAATAGGGGAGAGCTCATTGGGGAGAAATATGGGAGTCATTGGGGAGTAATAGGGGGGGGGCTCATTGGAGAGTAATAGGGGGCTCATTGGGGAGTAATGGGGGGACTCATTGTGGAGTAATCGGGGACTTATTTGGGAGTAATCGGGGAGGGGGGGCTCATTGGGGAGTATTAATAGAAAAATTGGGAGAAGTAATTTTAGGGGTATAATTAGGGCGAATAGTTCTAGGGAAAAAATTGGGAAGAATAATTCTAGGGGAGAAATGGGGGAGACCTGTAGGTATTAAGACGATGGGAATTATTTAATGAAAGGGGGTTGCCCGATATATGGACGATGGAGATCAAAGAGATGGAATGAAAAGGGAAAGGAAAAACGCGTATTCGATGAGTTGAGAGGGAAATGAAGAAAACAGATCTGCGTAATGATACGGAATTGCGGAATAAAAAGATGGAATTAGGAATGATTAAAGTACAAGAAGGAGTATGTAAATTAGTGGATAATTATCAAGAGATTTTCGAAGAAGGTTTGGGATGTCTGAGAGATTATGAAGTAGATATTAAAATGAAGGAGGGCTGTGGGCTAAAATTTTATGGATTGGGATTGATACCGTTCGAGTGGCTAAGATAGTGAAAATAGAATTGGAACAATGGATAAATAAGAGAATTGTGTGTCCGGTATTGGTGCCGGTAAAGAAGGTCAACGGAAAGCTCCGTTTGTGCGCAGGTTTCCTGGTCATGCTAAATCCGTGGGTTCTGAAAGTGAAATACCCCTTGCCGCGAATTGAAGAGATATTTGCCAGTCTAAAGGGAAGTATATATTTTTCAAAAGTGGTTATTTCAAATGCCTACTTACAATTGCGGGTGAAGCCAGAAGTGCACATCTATTGACTATTACTACGCCGAAAGGATTGTTTGTATATTGGCCTTTGGACTTAGTGTATCAGCTTCTATTTTTCAACGAACAATGGGGGCGGGCGTTTTACAAGGAATGGAGGGCATTTTCTACTATATGAACGATGTGTTGGTGACTGGAAGAACTCCCGAACAGCATGAAAGGAGATTGAAGGAAGTATTTTGGAAGATAAAAGAAAAACGATTGCGAACGAATGCGGAAAAAGTGTGTTAAGAGTGTCAGAAGTCGTATATTTGGGCCATAAAATCAATGGAAAGGAGGTGAGGTCATTGGACAAAAACATGACTGGGATTACGAGTATGCTGAGGCTAAATAATTAAGTGGAAGAGCAGGCTTTTCTTGGAATGGTAAATTATTAATACCGATTTGTGAAGGATTTCGCGCAAATAGCGGCGCCTGTTAAGGAAAGGAGAAAGATTTGAATGGAAGAATGAACAGGAGGAGGCTTTTGAGGATTTGAAATCTAGGATCGGAAGAGAGCCAGTTTTAGTGTGTTTTAAATGATTTGGAAGTGATATTGGAGGAGTGCTATTACATTATATAGTCGGCTTGGAGAGACCTGTTTTGGTTTATCAAGAATATTTAGAGCGGCGGAAACTAGATATTCGGTTATCGAGCAAGAAGCTTTAGCCGTCATTTTTAGACTGACAAAATGCCGAGAGTACTTAATAGGACGTAGATTTATAGTATATACGTATTACAAACCGCTGGTGCATCTTTTCAGAAAGGAAAATTGAGAGTTAATGTTATGGCCTAGACTACAGAGATGGTTATTAATAATGGGAAGTGATATCCAGCTTAAATATCGGCGAGGAAGAGAAAATTATTTACCGATTTTTTCTAGATGTGGGACGGGAGAGGATTTCGAGGATAGTGAGGCAAAAGATATGGATGAGGAGATGAGCAAGGATTTATTAGGGTGATGGCAGGAATATCTTAAGGAGGACCGGTCAAGTGGAACAAATACAAAAAGGTCACCTTAAAAGATCGAGAATTAACACGTGTCAAAGCAATCATAGAGGGAAGGAAAACCTGGCAAGATAGAGACAAACATTTTAAATACATAGAAAAAGAATTGGTTATAGTGGATGAATTTATGGTACGAGGGAATAGAGGTATAGTACCGCTTAAATTAAGAGACACGCTGTTTGTCCATGATCCATGCGGGGCATTAGGGGGTGGAAAAGATGAAACAATGAGGCCGACAAAATGTGTGGTGGCCGGGAATGAATAAAGATATCGAGAATATCAGCAGGAGTTGTTTGATGTGCAATACGTTGGCCAAGATGCCCCATAAAGACAAGAAAAGAATTTGGCCAAGGGCTACCCAATCGTGGGAGCGGATACACATTGACTTATTCGACTTTGAAAATAAGATGTATAAACTCGTGGTGGACACCTATTCCAAATGGGTAGAGTACGAAGAAGTGAGGGGATTGACAACTCAGGTTGTGGTAAAGATGTTAAAAAATCTTTGGACTCGGTTCGGAGTAGCAAAAATAAGAGTATCGGTTGGAGGTCCTGCCTTCATAAGTGAACAGTTCAAATTATTTCGTGCTGAAACTGGGCGAGACACATTTTGACCCCTTCATATCACCCGAGCTCGAACGGCAAAGCGTAAAGAATGGTGGCGGTGGTTATGAGTTGGTTGGTAAATATGGCGTTGGATATATTTGGATAGCGGTTGCATAGCCAAAAGGGAGAAAAATTGTAGCCAGCAGAGAAGTTTTTGGGCCGTAGAACTCGTATTTAGTTAGATTTCTTAAGACAAGAGACAACTCAAGGGGTGGATTCGATGGGTAATCAATGCGAGTATGAGGTAAGTCAGACAGTCTGGGCTAGAATTTTTGGAAGTACCCGAAAGTGGGAATCTGGAGTGATAATAGAAAACATTGGACAATAATTTGAGCAGGTGAAATTTATCAACAGAAGGGAAGGAGTTAGACACCTGGAGAAAATACGAAAAAGGGTAGAGTTCGGGAGATTACGATCAGGAGTATGAAGAAAAGGATATAATGATCAAAAATTCATGATGGAAAAATATTTATCTTAATATTATGCTCAACATATCCAAAAAAATTTAATGGGACAAAATGGTTAATGGAATGTATCAATGATAATTGGAGCCATGTAGAACCAAAGCGATTTCTACAAGGGATCAACAATACAGGTGAACAAAGTGAGGATACTCAAGGAGCTAACTAACCATGCAAATTTGGAAACACCATGGAAGGACAATAATTTACCGGGGGCAGAGTTGTACATTTGCTCAAAATAAAAAGATCTTCAAAGATCTCTATAAAATTAGAAGATCTTTTATTTTAAAAAAATTTTGAGCAACGGATTTTTGAAGACCATAAAAATTGAAGATCTTTTATTTTTGAAAAATTACGAGCAACTATCTTCAAAGATCGTGATTTTTGAAGATCGTAAAAATTGAAGATCTTTTATTTTTAAAAATTTTTGAGCAACGATCGATCTTTGAAGATCGTAAAATTTGAAGATCTTTTATTTTTTAAAAAATTTTAGCAGCTATCTTCAAAGATCTAGATCTTTGAAGATTTTTTATTTAAAAATATTTTAGATCAACGATCTTCAAAGATCTTCATATTTTATAATCTTATAGTAAATTATTATTTGTATGATATTATTTTTTGAAATAAATGGGTTAGTAAGCACGTTAAATTAAAATAAAAATTAATAAAGATGTACATACAATTTTCATAATCGTTATTTTTTTAAAACTTTTTTGAAATATATGGGTAAAAATTTATATTTTTGAAAAAAATTTATATTAAAATTTCAATGAAGATGTAATGTAACACAGAAAAGTGACAATTGTCATAATTGTTATTTTTTAACTTATTTGATTCTTGGTGTCGCAAATAGGTTAAAATTTATATCATAAGATGTAAAAATAAAATTTCAATGAAGATGTACCACAGGAAAGTGACAATTGTCATAATCGTTATTTTTGAACTTATTTGAATTTTTTTCAGGCAAATAGGTAAAAATATATATTGTAAACATGTTAAATTAAAATTTCATTGAATATGTACTACAGGAAAGTGACAATTGTCATAATCGTTAGTTTTGAACTTTTTTAATTTTTTTTTAAGGCAAGTAAAAATTTAACATGTTATCATGTTAAATTAAAATTTCAGTGTAGATGTACCACAGGAAAGTGACAATTGTCATAATCGTTATTTTTGAACTTTTTAAAGCAAATGGGTATAAATAGATATTGTTAGCATGTTGAATTAAAATTTCATTAAGAGTTAGTAAAAGTCATGCTATTATTTTGCCAACTAATGACAAATATCAAATATGTGAAATAGAACACAATATATTTTATATTTACCACAGTAAAGTAACAATTGTCATAATCGTTATTTTTGAACTTTTTTGAATTTTTTAAGGCAAATGGGTAAAAATAGATATTGTTAACAAGTTAAATTAAAATTTCAGTGAAAAAGTACCACAGGAAAGTGAAAATTGTCATAATCGTTGTTTTAGTTTTATTGAATTTTTGGTCGAATTAAAGATGAATTCTTTTTGCAATTAAGGAGACTTTATATTATTTTTGAGTATGTAATTAAGGACGTATCAGCTCTATTCAGCGAAACTTTAACCACGAATGTCGTTTATCGCGCAGGAATTTTATAGCGAAGGTATATCGCGAAACTAATTCCGCAAATTATTTTCAGAGAAACATTGATAGCGAAGACAATATCGCAAACCTATTATCTCGAATTTACTTTCGAAAATCTTAACCACGAATACTTTAGAGAGAATACATTTTAACGAAACTTTTATCGCGAACCCGTTATAGTGGAACTTTTATTGCAAACCTTTTATAGCAAATTTTCTACCGGGAATGTGTTTGCGCAAAGTCATTAACGCGAACGTATAACGGCGAAACATTAAATATATTGCTAATACATTTATTTAAAGGAAAACAAGATATTCAATATTAATTTACCTACAAAAATTCCTTAAATCATAAACGCGAAATGTTCTTAATCTTTTGTTATTAAGTAAGCATGTAACCTTTATCTGGATGTGATAAAAAATAAATAAGTTATATTCTTTCTGGTATCTTCTCATTCGAGGGGACATTTTGGTTCAGGTTTACCTACTCCTATAAATTTACCCCTTTCCTCCGCATAAATTTTTTAAATCTGCACAAGCCAATAAAAGTAAATTTTAACAAATATTATGAAATGCTTAGAAATTTTTTCAATCAAGATAACATAACAAATACTGATAGCTAAAACATTTTGCTGATTTTCTCAGATTATTTTTAAAATCATAGAAGATTTTGCTAAGTATATTTTTTAAATTTTCTAAGAATTTGTTTTATTAAATTTTCAAATTATTAAGGCATAGAGTAGTGATTAATTTTAAAACTCAAAAAATCATGCTTATGCACTTAAAAATAAAAGAAATAGTAAAAGTTTCTGAGTGATATATTATATTTTCCCAGAAATCAATTCTTAGAAAATTAAAATTTTTACTTAGCAAAATCATCTTTTGGGAATTCCGTAAAAATTACTTTAAGTAGTTTTAATTCGGAGTAATTAAGGGGAAAAAAATAATATATGCTGTAGCACTAAGCTATATGTATTATAAATATAATTAATCATTAAATATTGGCTTAAGCTTCAAAATTAGTACTTGTTAAAGTTTGGTAAACTTCATGCGTAAGGCAGCGTCTTAATATTAGATTCAGATTCCAAATTTTTTGAACTAATATTTCATACCTAAGTAAACAGAAAATAAAAAAAATATCTATAAAAATCGTAAAATCATAAGATTCAAAATATTTTGAATTAGGGAAATCTTTTATTCACTAATTTATTTAGAATCACCATTCACAATTCGAAACTCTGTTTTTGGTGGTGACTGAGTATTTCAAACAATTAATATTGGCGAAACCCAGTGGCGTAGCCAGGATTTTCTCATGGGGAGGGGAGGGTGTTAACCCCCCCCCCCCCCTACCAAACCTCCCATTTTTTATGAACACTCACTTATATCTTTATATTTTATTGTATAAAAACTCTATTTAAAAAAATATATAATTTAACAATTATATAAAATATAAGTAATTCTTTATGCAAATAATGGTATTTAAAAAAATATGACGTTATTATCAAAATATAAATAATACACACTCCTTTGATTAAAAGTTTTTTCAATGGAAGGATTTTGTCAGATATCAAAATCCTAGTAAAGAGAAGAATTAATTCGTTTCATAGAACATGGAGAAAGAGGAATATCTGAGGAGAATGCCATTAATTATAGAAATATGGAGACGTATATTCCAAAATGTAGAAGAGGATTTATTAATATAAATTTTTGTTTCTTACTATATAACATATATATCGTAATTGTAATTAAATAATTTGATATGTAAAAAATAAAATTTAGTGAAAATTAAATATATAAGGAGAAAAAATAATAAAAGGAATGTTGTATGTATGATGAAAAAAAGTGAAGAATTGTTTAAAAAAATGGAGCAGAGAAAAGATACAAATAAAGTAAAGAAATCGCAAAAAGTTTGAAATAAAATAAGAAGGAATGACAAAAATAAATGAAAATTTAAGAAAAATTGACAAGAAAAAAAATTTAAAAAATTACGATTTTCCTTTTTTGAATGGGAATTTTGCATTATTGATTGACACGTTTCCTTTTTTGATTTGACCTTTTTTTACACTTTTCTTTGATCGGACTTTTTCCTTTCCTTTGGGGAATTTTCCTTTTTGATTGACACTTTTCCTTTTTTGTTTGGGCCTTTTCCTTTTATGATTGAAACTTTTCCTTTTTTGACTAGGACTTTTCCTTTTTTGAATGGAAACCCTGTATCATGAAGTTTTTCATCCACATTCTCTCTAATATTTGTTAATATTGCAACAATATCCTTTGCTCAATTCTTAACCTCCCTTAAATCCAAATCAATTTTTTATAGCATTTTGAAATCATATGTATAATTAAATTTAAATTAAACACAGATTCTCAGCATCTGCTGAATCTTTTTCATTGCTTGATATATAAAATTCCAGTGCTGCAAATACAACATCATATAGTTTAATAAAGAGTCGATTCATGTCTTTCAATGAATCTAGTTGGACAAAATCTTTTTAGTTTCTTTTTTTCATTCTTTGAGTCAATGTCATGATAAGCCATTTATATTTTTTTAGCCATGATAATTGGAATATCAAATTTCTCATATTTAATGACACTGGAAATTTCCAGGCACCTAAATATTTTCAATACTTAATTTTTCATCGTCATTATGAAAATTGTGGTGTAAATGGGCTGTAACATCTTTTTGATTTTTTAAATTAAAATTTATAGCTAAAAAAAATATAAAAATAATCAAATACTGTAGATCAATTATTATTTATAATAAATTAAAAATAGTTGTTTTTTAAATTTCAAGCATTTATTATCAATTTGCCCCCCCCCCCTAATGCCTAAGTGCGCGATTCTTATAAAATACGACATCGAGGAAAAGCAAGGGGCAGGATAGCAAAATTTTTATTCCAATAATAAATTTCAAAAACCAAAATTTATCATTATATAAATTTATTAAAAATATTATTTAATTAATATGATCATAAAAATAGTCACTTTTAGCAATAATTGCGATATTAACCTCGTGATATTAAGCTAAATTATCTTCGCGATAAATTCGCGAAAAAGTGTATCGCGATAAAATTTATTCGCGAAAAAGAGTATCGCGATAAATTCGCGAAAAAGTGTATCGCGATAAAAGTTTTGCTGAATTTACATGGAACCAATTAAGGAAAAGGGTGAGCAAATTTTATAATTTCGTTGCTTAGTTTTCGGGGTGGTACTTTGTATCAGAGGTTCATGGAGGGATATAGTCGATGAGCCCAGCCAGGATTTTTTAAATAATTTTGGTTGTATTTTGATATTTTTCTATGGGTGTGCAGTAAAATTGTTATACAATCTCTGTTATATGATTTTCCAACTGATAAAATAATATAATTAAATTTATTTTGAAAAAATCCCAGGTTTTGAAAAAATAAGCCGGGTCCGGGTTTGTAATTTTTATTTATTTATAAACTCAGCTCTGATTTTCAAAATATAATTTTAGTGTCTGTTATACATTTAAAACAAATATGCAAGTGAAATCTCTACCGATTCGGTGTCCTATGGCTAATCTCGATTTTTTAAATAAGACGTTGCCTAGGGTTAAACTCAGTTATGCCTTCAACCATTCATATCCTCCCAAATTTTTACTATTTCCCTCCAACCATTTATACCCTACCAAATTTTTACTATTTCAATAAATGATATAAAGTATAGACACGACTTTATAGAAATAGTGTTAAAATTTTATTTATTAAAAATTCAGAGACTATATAATAATAATAATAATAATCAATAAAACAAATCTTATTGTTTAATGAACATTCAATGATGTACTATATATCCATTTTTGTCTAAGAGCTATCGAGTTCGACTCTTAATTTTTACTATAAGGAAATTATATTATTGAGAAATATCAGGCTTCTATGCGGACCTCTATCGGTTTCGGTTCTGCACTTGTATATATTAAGCAGGATCACCTAAAATTTTGACACAATTGAAATCAAATATTGATTTCTTAAAAAAATTTTTGAAGATATTTTATTATGAAGAGCATTTCAAACTCTGATATTTTACTAAATTTTTTTCTCTTTTTATGGGTTAAAAAAAGCGTTTATATTATCGGGTCTATTTATATTTTCCTTCAAGATGGGCCATTACTTCTCATTTTTATTTTACACCGGATTCTATATATTGATTTTTCTCTATCAAACCAACCATATCATGCAGTGAGTGATATCAAGGTAATTATTAACAAAGTATTAAATATTATAAAACTCCTTGTCTATAAAATGCCTGCTTATTGAACTTATATTTTATTTGCATTCAAAGATAGTTGGTTGGTAAATAAATTAAATATCAACTTAAATATCGAATCGGTGAAAAATATTGAATCGGTGAAAAATTTGTGGATCAGCTCGATCTTAGTAAACAATGAATTATGAAACGTAAAGAGCCGTATAAAATTATAGTAAGTCCTGAATTGAATTAAGTCAGACCCAGTCCATTACAACTATATCTTATTTCAAATATTGACATAAATATTGACGTGGGTATATATTTAAATACATTTTTATTATTGTTATATCAAATATTTAAACAAATAAAACAATTTTAAGGAGATAACAAATATTTTGATTATTTAAATTACAATAGTTATTTTAAATGTGCGCAGAAGGAATAAACAAAATTATACTACTCGAAGATTACAAATTATCAAATGAATAGATATTTATAATATCAATTGTAAATTATGAAATTGAATCATGAGGATGAGGAATATAATAGACGTTATCTCATTCAGCTAATTATACTTTATATGTTATATTAAATATATATGGATTTTTAAAACAGAAGCAAGTGGCGATTATTGAAGAGTAAAAAGTTGGTGTGATTATGTTTTACTATATTACATACAAGTCTATCAATGATTTAAGTTAATTTCTAGAACTCTAAAGTACAATAGTAATCTGGAAAATAATAATAACTATAATCAAATGATAATTGAAAGATGGAAAATAAGGATCGATATCGATTTCTTTAAAAAAGTTATTAATATATAGTATATAATAATAAATGTATATAATTTAAAATCTATAAATATTTCTTTTTATTAAATACAAAAGAATAACTAAAAAAAATTTATGTTCAGTAATTACAATCATATCATTTATATAATAATATTATACTAAAAATGCATGTGAATTAGCAATAATTGGTATAATTGTAATTTAACATCAACAAATATATTTAAAAATATATGAAATTTATTTTGGTTTATATAATGAATGCTAAATTATATGAACTCTTGAATATAACGAGCAAGCGGTATCACCCTTTTCTAAAAATACCTAAAACCCTTGTAGCGAAAACCGTAATTCATATATAATTTTGAGTATATTGCTTAATCCTTGATATATTGAGAGGAATAAATTTTATTATTCCAAGTGGTTTCGTCGTTTCTAAGACAAACATTTCATTTTTATTAAAAATTATTTAAAAGCTAATCATAATGAATTTATTTGATGAGAAATTTTACTAATATATTAAATTTTTTGACAACGAATATTTATTTAGGTAATTTTACTTATTATCAGGGGTAGTAACTACTGAGGGCAAAGGTGGGGGTGGAATGACATCGCATATATTGACGAAATTGGGAAGAAGTGTAGATGTTAAGCCTTGTTTTTTATCATTAAATATGATATCCTTGTCTTTATCTCTGCCCTCTTTCTCCTTCTTCTTTTTGGAAGCTTTGTGATATTGATTATGATGATGGCTAGAGGAGTGAGACCTACCACCTTCACCAACAGAATTACTCTCGTTTTCCTTCACGTTGGCCCCGGTTTTTGATCGTTTTTTGAGGCGTTTTTTAGCCGCCGAATCAGGTAGTTGGTCATGATTTTCTTCCTGTTCTTCACGTTCATTGCATGTTGAGTTTTTTTCTATCGAATCGTCGAGCAAGTGGCAGACAGCAACTAAACTATGATTGGCCCCGGTTATTTTACGGCCTTTATTAGGGTCGTCATTAGCTATTATAGTGGAAGACAAAGGGGTTTTAGGTTCTTTGGGCAGGGTGTTTTGATTTATCATAGAGAAAGAATAATCGTCGCTAGGATTGGTTCTATGGTCGAAGGAGTTGTTAAATTGATTTTGGCTGATATTATTAGGTCTATTGAGGCCAGCAACACGTTGGGAGTTATCGTTCAGGAAAACTCCAAGGCTGTTTCTTTTATCAGGAATTTTTTTATTTGAATTAGCAGTCTTTTCTGCTATACCAACATTAGGACCACCTCCTATAAGGTACAGCGGTTGATTGAGCTGTTGGACTGCAGTGCTTGCTTGGCTTTGCTGTTGAAAATATATCAAAGGAGCTAAAGAAGGAGGATAGAGGTAACGAGCTCCTACGTGTTCTAAACCAATTAAGTTTTCATTATTTTTCATTGGCTTTCATAATTATTTTTGTGTATGTTGAAAAAATATTTAGCATAAAATAAGCAAATTATTCAAGCTATTAAATTTTAAAAATCGGGATTTTACCCAGGCTTTTGTGAACTCAGTAAAAATATTAGTTTATGTCCATACATATTTTTTATTATTACTTTTAAGGCATTTTAGATACAACTGTAATTACCGTTTTTTAAATTATGTAATAATATATTGCTATTGTTTATAAAAATATTTCAAAAAAGAAAAGGATTTTTTTAAATTATTAATATGCCAACCAAGTTTGATGGATGTTCTTGGGTGATTAATGCAGCGGAAGGACCATATGCGTTGATCAACTGAAACTGGGCGTTATGGGGAGATATCATGATATTATTGCCAGCGTCAGCAGAGGCGCTACCATTGATAACATTCGCACCGTTTTGGTTATTAGCAGTATAATAATCTAACAGTATTATGCGATTAGAGGGTAAAGCTGTGGGCGGACCCGAAGATGTTCCATTTAACAATGGTAGCAATTGAGGCGTTTCATAGATGGGACCTCCGGCTCCTACGAGACTCGTGTTGTCACTGTGACCACCAGTGTTCGCATTAACACCGTTGTAAATATCGTAATAAAAGCTTGATATCATTTGTTGGTTAAGGTTGTTGACGTTACTATGATTCAAAGTTTGATTAGCGGCAGCTAAATAAGCAGCTTTATTAACAGTACCATATGCACCTATAAAGAGTGGGTCCTGACGTATGCTGCCATTGTTAACGTAAGCTTGGTTGAAAATATCCGTAGGAATATTTGAAGAATAATTTTCATCTTATTCATGGAATAAAATTATGAGTTAGAAGAGTTTAATTGGGTTATTATAAATAAAAATATTTAATCTTATCGCGTGATTAGACTAAAATTTATTTAGAATATAAGTTTAAAATGTGCATGTATAAAATTAACCTTTAAATGCCAAATTTATGCCGTTGTTGGCTAGGATGGTTTGGGAAGATGAAAAATTTTGATTTGGTGAGATGGCTAAATTATCGGTAGCGAAGTCATTATTGCCATTCAGATTGTTACTATCCAACGCGCAATAATTTGTGAAGGTATCGGGGTTTGTGGCGAAAGTGGTCCGTTGTGTATTCCATCTCTCGTTTACATTTTCGTTGGGTGGGTCAACATTGTGATTATTGTTGCTAAACCACAAAATATTTCGGGGAGGTGGTCCGGTTTTATCGTTAGAGGTCCCGCCACTTTTGTAATGCGTTTTATTTTTAAGGTTGCTGATGAAGACGGCCCCATTTGACGAGGCAGAAGAGGAGGAAAGGAGACGACGCTCAGTACCAGTGCCAATGCCACCACCAATAGTGGACGGGTTGTCTTTATGACGCGAATATGCGGTTCCATAATAATAAGGCTCCTCTTGGAGAATTTCATCGCCGACAGAACCCGGTCTACATCGCACTAGGGCATTAAACTTTTCGTCATCATGGTCAATAATAGAAGACAGTCCGGTCATTTTATTACGCTGATCTACTTGAAAACCAGCTATGACACCACCAGCCCCATGATCGCCTATATGACGATGATGATTCGCTCCATTTTGATAAGCATATTTGCGACGAACTCGACGATAAGACCAGAATGCTAAAGTCAATACGCATATCCAAAGAGCGGCTACGGCAGTCGCTATTATCCAGGGTCTTTTATAAGCGACAGATGTGGAAGTGGAACCATTTAAAATAGTGGCTTCTGGTCCGGTACCCGAAGAATCTATTCTCTTGTTATAATCGTAATTTTCTGACTGCCGCGGATAGGATGGAGTGGTGGTCATCTTCACGACGAGCCCAAACTCGGGACCCTTGTATAGAATATCTACAAAGTCGCTAAAAGGTCCAAGTCCAACGTTGGTGAAGGCCGCTACGCGAATCCTGTAAAATCCTAATCGATTTAAATGAGTTATCAAGGCGGAACGGGCCGTGTCATTGGTAACAATTAGTTCTATATCGGATTGATGAGGAGAGATATGTATATCATTATCAGAATCGGAAGATATGAAAGAACAATGAACTTTGTAACCTCTAAGGTAACCGTTATGATGAGTTTTGGAAATCGATTCCCATTGTATAAGAGCACTGTCCACACTATTTATTAGGGCTCGGACGTTTGGTGGTGATTGTGAGGGAGCTGAATTAGATATATGGAATAGATAATAATCTATTATGATAAATAATTTATAACGATCAAAATTTAATTCTAATAAATAGTTACATATGTTTTTTTTAAATTTTAGTTAATATGATTTTACCATCCTCTAATGTACGGGCCGAAACGATTGGGCTATTGGCACCTTCTACGGCATCAAAAAATGGAGAAATTATAAATTGATAGTTAGAAAATTTCTTCAGATCTTGCAATATATGGAATGATATAGTATTATCCATGAGGGTAACGGTGTGAAATGCAAGTGGTGTAACGGTTTGAAGAAAATCAGACGGATCAAGGCGATATTTTAAGTAAAACCCCTGTATGTAATTTAAGTTCTTTTCCACCTAATATAATTATTTTAAATTATAATAATTTGAAAACTAAATTATATAATTTTTGAATGGGCAAGGAAAACATAGAAAATATCGAGTATATTTAATATTTGGGTTGTACATATATGTGTAAATTTAATAAAAAGTATATATCTTATTAATATTAGTCAAAATCTGTAAAAACCTGCCATTCCAATCTAATGGATGTAGATGTGAGTGGTTTGACATCTCTAAAATTTATAATATTTGAAGCTTCAAGTTTCTCCTGTACTTCGGCGAGATCGTATAAAGATGCAGCAGCTGTAATCTCTTCTTTAGAAACTATACAAATATTATTTTTATTAAATATATATTTAGTGTATACAGGGTTGGGAAAATTTTCAAAAAATGTATTCGAATATAAATAACAAATACACTTTAAAAAAGGTATTTTAAATATAAATAACAAATACCTATTCAAAAGAAGTATTTATATACAAATACTTTAACGAAAACTTTTTGCACAAATAAAAACTTTGACGAATACTTTTTGCAAGTCTATTTTTTAAGTACCACACTATCAATTTTTAACATATAATATTTTTCTTATTATTATCTAAAATTATCGAATATCTGCAGTACTATGTAAACATATTAAATAATATATTTATTGTTGCAGCAGTAGAATCATCACATAAATGATGTAATAATTGCAAATATAAATAATATCATAGTTTGACAGAGCATATAATAAATTGCTGAAAAATGAAATCGCTCCATTTATTATTTTGGTTTTATTTTTAGTTGAGCAGATATTCCATTCAGCTTCATGGGCGTAGCCATGATTTTTCTAAGGGGAGGGGGCACTATTAGATGGATCTTTTCCCCGTAAATTTTATTGGAGGTTTTTAGGATCACTTATTGTAGACCTTTGGCTGTGTTATATTTTTATAAAAATTATTTTGGTTTTTAACTTTTTTATAAAAATGCTTCTTTTCTAAAAGTTTTGAATGATAGTCGTTATTAAAAATTACTAACCTTTACTTATCTTTCAAATTCTTATTCATCGTGATTATATTGCATATGTCTTTGGGAGAGAGGGGGGTGATGAATTTTTTTATTAGCTAAAATGATATTTACGAAAACAAGAAAAATCTCGAAGAGGAGAATCCTCTCTGTCTACGTGTATGATTAGCTTTCAATATATAATATTTTTTGATATTTTGAACAGATTTTCATTCAAAATTGTCAAATTAAATTTAGAGGATGTTAAAGTTGTCACGAAACATCAAATTAAATTTAGAGGATGTTAAAGTTGTCACGAAACAAAATCCCTGCAAAAACATCTTATAAACATATTAGCTTAATGTAGAAACTCCTTTTCTCCTATTATTATATCTTCCTTATTCAAAAACTGGTATATTAATCTTCGCTTACGGTAATGCTCATTTTAAAAAATAAAATAAGAATTTAATATTTAAATGTGAATTTACATTTAATAATTTATTTTATAATAAAAAATAAAAAAAAATATTTGTAATTGTCTGAAAATCAATGAAAACATAATATATATAAAATAATTTTTATTTTTTGGTATTTAAAATACAAATACTAAATACATTCTAAAATATTCAAATAAATACTAAATACAAATACAGAAAAATACAAATATAGAAAAATACAAGTGTTAGCATTACTGCCCAACCCTAAGTGTATAATTATTTTTTTATATATCTAAGTTTAATCAATATTTATAGGTTTATTACCTATACTATTTATTTTAGTTCTTTAAATAATATAAACCTTTGACATCATCTGGTAAAGTATATAGGAGGTGGGATACAGGACTAGGTCGCCCCAGTCCATACGAATTCTCGGCTCTAACTAAAAACACATACCCTGCGCTTGGTTTTAATCCAAAGAGAGTATATTCATTTCCCAATATCCGGCGAGCTGCTACAATCCATCCCAAATCGATGGATGACGGAGTAAAATATTCGATCATGTAACCTATTGTAAAAATAAATTTTATTGCTTGGAAATGGTAAAAAAAAGAAAGCATGAAACAAGTATTAATATTTAAAAATATAAATCATTCATTATTTCTGCATCACATTTACTTCATTTGGTTAATCTACATTTCGACAAATAAATTAAAAATTTGCCTAGCATAAAATATTAATGTAAGCATGAATTAATATAAATTATATCTAATTTAAATCAAAATAAAATCGCCTAAATATTTACCCAAAATCCTTGAACTGCCATGCTCAATTTCGGAAACGGATCTCCAAGCAACGGTTATTGATTTTTTGGTGGTGCCATTAGTGTTATGGCTTTTATGAGGTTTTCCCGGAGAACCAGGCAGCGCAAAATTTTCTGGAATTCTATGAAAAGTGGCCTTAGGATCGGAAGGGGATTGAACATTAAGGGCGGCTGACCACGAGGTTGACAACTGGACAGCATTTTCTCTTTTTTTCTCTTTCACTGATTGAGAATGAGTTTGGGTGAACGGCAAGGGAATGAATGAGTGCGTTGTCATTTGGTAATTAGTAACAGAAGATAAAAATATCCATGTAGTTACTAAGCAGGTATAGATGCCAGTGTCAGATATATGTAAATCTAAGATTTTATTAAATGAGAATTGAAATATAATTAATTGAAAATTTTTCGCAAGCCAAATCTTTTGCAAGCACGAGGATAATAATAACAATAAAAAACGAGCTACTCAAATCTATGAATTTTTCTTTATAACACAAAAAACCTTGTATTTTCAGGCTCCCATCGTTCAAGATCATGAATCGAGATTTGTCGTAATCGATAAACTGCTTGTCTCCTTTGAACCAAGTCACCTTAACATGAGATTCATTACCTCGTATAATGTTTTCATTACTTTGAACGGAACACGGTAAGAGGGCTACACTGCTTATCGCTAGGGTTTGATTGGAGGGACCCCGTCCTATCACGGGCGGATAGAAATAATCTAGGTACAAATTTTGATTGGGATTATTAAAACCCATGGGATTCGCTATTTCACGGTCCATTTCATCGCCGCCATTGTTATTATTAGAGGCGTGAGCCAGCATTCCTCCTATTATCTCGAGATATGCCTTGGCGATGGAACTGCCAGCTACGCTTAAAGCAGAACACACGTAATATCCTTGATCCTCCTTTTGTACACCAGTTATCTTGAGCTCGCCGTCTGCGGATACCGAGAACCTTCCGTGAGGCCTATCAGGAAACATCAGGACTTGACTTCCTTCTCGCGTCCAGTAAACAGAAGGAGCGGGATTACCTAGGTATGTTTAAAAAAATAACATACTTCTTCAATTTTACAATGATCACTCAATACCCGTTTTTTTAAATGTACCTTAAAAGCAAAATGAATTTTAATAAAATTTCATTTTTATAAATAACTTGTCAAATCTGACAGGTCATATAATTAAAAATAATTTCCTTGAGTTGGACCATGATCAAAATAAATGAGCCAGGGTTACCAGGAACGGTGGTCTAGGCTGTTATAATTGTGAAAATGGTGATAAGAAGTTGTTAGAAAAAGTAGGTGATAGAGAAAAGATAGTATAAGGGATAGTTTCTAACCAGTGGTGACACAATCGAAAGTAGCTATGCCGTTGAGATTGACTCTCCTGTCCCGAGGGGCCACGACGAATGCGGGTCTTGAATGAACCGTCAGGGTAGCGGAAGACTGGACAGATCCGGCTCTATTGCGCGCTTCACACGCGTATATGCCCTCATCGGCAGATTCTACGCGCAGGATCTTAAGCGATTTGTGTTCTGTCATCAAAGATCGGTCCGGTATAGCCCGGTCTCCTTTTCGTTTCCAAATAACTGTCGGGTCAGGTTTGCCTCTGACGCTACATTCGAATTCGACATCATCTCCAGAGATAGCCGTGACGTCGGAGGGGGTTTGAGTGAATTCAGGCTTGACTATATTTTTTTTTAATATTAATTTTATGGGAAGGATGAATGAATCTAATCACTAAAACAAGATAATATTGTATAATATATAGAGGCTTTTATGTTTAAAAAACATACCGAAGACGATCAAGTTGACGGGAATTGAGGTATATTTTAGCGACCTTTTAAAGTGCTTATCTACGCTCTCGTTAGAATTATAGTTGCTGCTAATACCATATTTCAATGATTTGTGATGATTATGGTGCCTGATGGATGGGTTATCTTGCAAAGACTGGTCATATTTGACTGCGTCCACATGACAATTGTAGTAACCAGCGTCTGTCATATTCACTTTAGTAATTACTAAATTACCATTAGCGTTTAACATTAGCCTCGAGGAGGTTCCGTGATTAAGTGAAATTGATTTGTGGGGAGGACTGCTTAGGTCATCAACTTCAGAATTAGGTAAGTTATGAAAATAATCCCGATTAATTTTCAACTCCTTACTTCCTGACAATTTGTGAGTGGGATCTGTGATGGAAAAAAAGGTAAGGTTGAAATAATTCGATTTATTTTCGCATTTTTTCAAAAAATTATCTGTTTTATTTAATATAGGCACTACAGAGTTACCTAAGAAAATAATATTTCAATTCAGAGAAAAAGAAAAAACTAAGTGAAAAATTGTAAAAGAATTATAATTTCGATATAATTATGAAAATTCGTTCTCACTATTATTCGATTTGATGTTTATATCGTCATTGTTGTGCTTCTTCCAAGTCAGCTTGAGCACTGTCCGCCAGACGCTCTTCTCATTTTTAAGGTTAGGCGTAGATTCCGATTTTTCAACCCAAGATCTAATCGCAGGTAAATCCAACCCACATTCTAAGACCACATCCTCGCGCGCATTGACTGCTACTACCCTAGGACCACTTTTGCCTGCGCTATCCAAAGGCTGAGCTTAAGGTTTTTTGACGAAAAAGTATTCTTGTTATTATTTATATAAAAAAGTTGAATCGCATATATCCTTTAAAAATAAATAAAATAACCAATCTTATTAAGTCAGACAAAGCATATTATAACCAAAATCATGATTTAAATGTTTCGAATCCCATTGCAATATAGATTATCAAAACTAGATATTCTAATTTCATCCTTTATAAGAAGTGAGAAATATGTTAAGAGCATTATCAGTGAGTTATCCAGGAATTTTGACTTAAGAAGAAAAGAAGGTATTGAATTCATAATTAAATTTACTTCTCTAATGCTAATAATGCTATACGAGATTAATCCTCATATCAAATTTAGAACAAAAAAAGAAGGTAATTTTTGATAATGTTAGCTAAAAAAAAGATAATTTTAGCTAAAAAAAAAGGTAATTTTAAGTGTTAACTAAAAAAAAATTCGAGTCCCCTGAGATTGTAAAGGCTAGTGACCTCTTTGAAAATAAATAACAATACCAAAACAAAAAAGTATAACTTTTATAAAAAATGTAATATATAATTAATTTATATATTTTTTACAATGATTACAGTTATGGTAGTGAAGAAAGTAATATCAATAGCAAAAAAAAATTATGGAACTAGTTCATGTCTAAATTCAATTTAAATTCTTAAAATTTTAGACGACAAATTTCATAAAAAACTAAAAAAAATAAGGTGACGGCGATATATCGGATCTGCACATATAACAGAAAAAAATTAAAGAGATTTACAAACTCATCTTCAAATTTTGTCAATGGTATTAAACTAATAATATCATATATTTATTTTGTCATGATTAGTCATTACGTCTTGCATTTTTACTTTTAAAAAAGTATTTTTAAATTTATAAATTGGAATTTTGGCGAAATCATATATTTTCATTTTTAAGTTTATTTTTTGGAGAGATCATTATATATTTAGATTTTTAAATTTAATATTGGTTGTAATATTTCAAAACAACAATTTAATTCAACTAATTTATTGAAAAAATATTAAAAATAATGAATATAATTATATTTCACTCCCCTTTTTAGGAGAGCTTTTAATTGTAAAAAATTAATTCAAAAATAAGAATATAAAAATACATTTTTTAAATATTAAAAACCGATAAATTAAATTTATAACTAAAAATAAAAATCTAAATACATAATGATCTAGCGAAAAAATAAATATAAAATAAACTTAAATATGAAAATATATGATTTCGCCAAAATCAAATTTATAAATTTAAAAATACATAGAACACATAATGACTAATCATGACACTGCCACTTTTTTATAGGTATTGAGACCTCAGCAACTCCCGGTTCTCTTGCAGCAACACCCGGTACTCTTGATTTTCAACTCTCAGGTATGGTAGCGATGGTGGTCCTAAGTAGATCCGGGGCTTCCGTTCTCCCTTGCCTCTGCTCTCTCGAGAAGAATAACTGGTCTCTCCCAATCTACCTGGTGTAACAACGCCCCTCCTACTCCTTTACTAGACGCATCAATCTATAGGATTCCCTTTAAATCATTATTGAAACATACCTAGACCTGTGCGCCGACGAAATATCGGCGGCCGGGGCAATTTTTAAAAAATCTAATAAACGGCTGGCGGCGCGCCGATTTTTAGCCGCCGTCAATAAAATTGGCTTAAATCGGCGCATATATAAATTTTTATAAGATAAATTATTTTAATTGCTTATTAATTTTTTTAAAAAAAACAAATAAATATACACTATTCTACAGATATCTCGTCATATTTTTTAATATTCATTTAATAGGAAACTTATAATATCCAAAATCGATTTCGAATTTTATAATTATCATGTATAAAAATTATTTTATTTAAATTTTTGGGACATAATGATGATCTCCTTAAATTTAACGTCAATCCAGCAGAGAAATATCTTTCACTAGGTTGCTAATCGCCGGAATGCAAAGAATTTTTTTGGCGAGCCTGGAAAGATTGGGAAGTTCACTCTTCTTTTCTCTCCAAAAATTTAGAACGTCCATATCTTGTGAATGTCGTTTTCCAAGAAAACTGTGGCATTCTTGTTCTAAGTCACCTAACTTGGAATCATAATTTATATTTGTTGAATGTTTATTTGCCAATTTTGTCAAATAACTTGATTTAATAATTTATCTTCATCCTCGTTAGCTATATTTACTACCTGATTATCACCATTCTCTAAAAGTTTAAGATGTTTTATTATAAATTCTGAAGCTGAGCAATTTTGCTCTATTAAATACTTTGATACAATTGTCAATTTTTAAAATCTTCGATCTAAAAGAGAAGCCAATGCCTAGATAATTTTAAATAAAAAAATATACTTATATAATATTACTTGCAGATTACAAACCGGAAATCGTAGCGCAAGTTTTTTTAGCATATTTTCCTCACTATCATTTACTATTAAATGTGTTTCAATTTCACTTCTAAAAAGTAACGCCAAGTTTAAAGTAAGCCCTTTTAGTACTGAAAGAAATTCGACAGTTTCTTTAAATTTTGAAAGAAATGCGAATAGTTCTTCTACCAGATCAGATTCATAATTTGAGAAAGTGCTTCCCAATTCTTTTCAAAACATTATTAATTAAATTCTTATTTAATCCAGATATGCTTTCTAGCATAATTAATATACTATGCCAACGTGTTGGGATATTTAATTTTAAGGTTTTCATATGCGTGGAATTATTGTTACTATTATCATTGGAATTGCCAATTTGAAACCGGGTATCCGGGTATGGATCAATGCTGTCAAGATCTAACATGTCTGATGTTAAATCTATTGTACTTAGGCATTTTCTTTGATATTCCTCGAATTCAAATTCAACCTCTGCAGTTTTATATCTTAGAGCAGTAATAATTTTTCTAATTCTTTTGCAAAAAATTTCCAGACTATAGATTTTTATTATCCGGAGTTAGGATACTAAAATTATTTAAATTATTAAAGTAGATGCATCCATTTTAAAAATATGTAAAATTATGGTAACTTTTGGAATTTTAGATTTTTGATTGATTGAATTCTATAATGACGTCAATATAATTAAGATTTTAAAATAGTAGAAAATAAAAATTTATCAAAATCCTGATTGACGTTAAAAAATTACATGAGTGATCGGCGTTTTCGGCGTAACCAAAAAGGTCGGCGGCCGGCCGGCGCACAGGTCTAAACATACCAAAATAGGTTTCTCCCCAATTTTATTCTTCAGCCATTCAAAAGCCATCTCCTATCCTTCTCCCAAACCACACTCCTGTTTGTAATAATGCATACAATTATTAAAAGCGAACAAGCCTTCCGGTGTGGTTGCCATCAATAACTTTTGTACCTCCTTTTTCACTAAGTTGGAAATACGAATTCAAAAAAGCTACTATCAAAAAATATATTCCCTCCTACAAACTTGCTAATAACTTCTCGATTCTAGGTAACGGACACCTCACTTCCACCACCCACGGATTCAATATTAATATAAAATCAGCACACAATCGCAATTCTTCATTGACCCTTTTAACTGGCACCATCCTCACATTAAAGACATTCGATTTCTCCCCTTTGTGGAAAGCCTCCTCTTGTATCCACCTTTCCAACTATGCAATCACTTTCCCTATGCCCAAATTTTCCACATCGTAACATATCTTTTTTACCCGGACAAAACGTTGAAATATCACCTATTCTCCTCGCCCAAAACATTTAAAATCTCTACAATTTACTACAATATGCCCTATGGGAAGGTCAATGGGAAATTTCGATTGTGTGTCGATTTTTAAGTAACGTTGAATCTGTGGGTGGTGGAGGTGAAGTATCCGTTACCTAGAATCGAGGTCCAAGAGGAAGATCCGGGAGATAGCATTATGCCATGGATGTGGGGCTACGGGGTAGTATATTAGGAGGTGGTGTCGTAAATATTATGGGAGAAAACACACAGGAGGGCAGAGGCAATGGAAGGACGGAAGCCCCAGATATACCCAGGACAAGATCGCAATCGCCGTCACAGCTGAAAGTTGAAGATCAAGAGTACCAGGAGTTGCTGGGGTGCCAAAAACTGTGAAAAAGGGGGAAGTGCCATGATTAATCGTGAGGCGTTATATTATTACTTTAAAAATATTTTTTTAAATTTGATTATTGGCGAAATCATTATCTATTTTCATTTTTATAAATTTAATTTTTCATCGTAATTTTTCGGTTTTTAATTTATAAAAAATGTATTGACAAATACTGCAAATAGAAATCCTGAAATCTCTATTTCCCAACCTCTTAGATCCTAAGCCTATCATTCTTTTCAAATTGTTATTTTTAAATTATTTTATTTACAATTAAGACCTATAAAAGGGGAGAGAAATATAATTACATTCATTATATCTTTTTCATGTTTTTTTACATTATTATCTTTGTGAAAATTATTTTAAATAAAGAATTTCTTTTAAGATTTAATTGTGGTCATTTAATTGTTTTATTAAGTTGAATTTGGAATAAATAAAATACGTCTTCAAATAAACGGTCATAGCCACATGTCAGATCACACACCTCACAGCCAATTACTTTTGATTTTAAAAATTTGAATGATGGTTATATATGTTAAAAACAAATTTTAACTTTTATATCCTGAAATAATAGGGATGAAAAAATCAACTATGATTTTTATCTGACCTTTGATGTCTGGCTCTGCTTCATAATCTTTTCACTCCTCCTTTAATGCCATCGCGCATGTTGTTTCAATGAGCTATAGCAAAAAATGTCATTCAGCTGAAATGTCAAGGTTGACATATGATGACACTGTATAAAGTGTTGTAGAAATAAATAACCGGAGATATAGTGTAAGAATTCAGAGACAATGATATAATACACCTTCTCAAAGTTTTCCCCGTTTCTATAATAGGCTACAAATAAGTAAATTGTCCTCTGAATTTGTTCAATGGAACCCTTGAGCTTCGTCCTGTAAAATAAATGAATAATTTCGGAAAAATCTAATACTTCTGTACCCGGACATTGATAACTCACAATTCGAAATAACATTTTGGTTAAGAGAATTGAAAATTAATTGTGCCCAGATATATTTGTATTTAGTCCTCTATTTGTCAAATCTCGAGGTTTACATAATATATGTTGGGTAAAATCTTATGCCTTTTTTAAAAATCGGCCCAAATCGGGAAGGCCGTTTAACAACACTGGACCTGGCCAATCCCAAAGACGGATCAAAACCAATTTTCGCGGACAGACCGACCCGCATATTGGCCCAATCCCAGGCTGGTCGAAGACCTTTAGGATTATGAGAGACGATATATTTCAAATTGAGGATGTATCGATATTATAAAATTTTTCTAAGTGATCAAATGGTGGCTTAAATATTAAAAAATTTACATCAAATATCATAATATATTTGTTAATTATAAAATTTCTGGAACTCGAACAAAATGCGAAACGTTAGTTTTGTTGCGTATTTTATTATAAAACAATATTATTATTTGTTTTTTACAAAACAAATATATTATTATAGTAATCGATTTTAGGACACTAAACATTTTTACTTTTTATGTTATTATCCTTTTGAACGAAATTCCAATTTTAGATATTTAGTTTCATTTAAAAACACAAGTTTATGGAGATGAGAAAATGAGTTGAAAGATTCGTTTATTTCCCATTTTTTATAATTAAATTTAGCTTATTATTTTTAATATGAATTTTATTCCTTAAAAAAATAATATATAAAAAAAAACTTTTAAGTTTATTAAATTTGTATTTTGATTTATTGGTTTTTATTTTCATCTTTCTTTCTTTCCCCTAACCATCGTTTTAAAACTGTAAAAGAAAAGGGAAAACTACAACTAAAAAGTAAAAGCTATAATTTATTTTAATTACGATAAAACACCATTTATTTTATGTAATTTTCGTTAAGGGTAAAATAAAAAAGAGATGAGAAAATTTATTTTTAAAAAGTTTAAATTGTGGAGGAAGAAAAAAAATATGTTAAAAACCTAATTAAAAAGGGCTGGAAAAAATTTAAATAAAAGGATATATATTAGTGTAATCTTTTTAAAACTATTTAGCAGCAGGAGTCTTGCCGAGTTACTTTTGGCCTGGCCTAATTTGTTAGAAGCGATACAGTAGTAATAGCCTTCGTCCGGTTGGGTCACTCTCAGGAAAAACAGGGATCCATTCGGTAAGACAGCTTTTGAATCATCGTTTCTATTCGAAGTCGTTAACTATTTGCATTATGTTTAGTGGGGATGGACCAAATAAAAAATATTTCATTTCATGATATTATTATAAAACTAGCTAGACAAGTAACTGGTGAAGTGGAATAATAAATAACGCCAGTGGTTATGTGGGGTATAACTAACCCATATTTTGAGATTTTTATATATCTCACTCATATATATATATGAGTTTTGATATTTTATATAACTTATCTTATTAAGTTAACCTTAAATTGATTACGAATATGAAATTTTTAAAGCGATAATGATAAATAAAAAAAAAATTGTATATAAACTCTTGAAACTTTAAGAGTAATTAATAGTCCAATACATATCAATTTATTATTAAAAAATATATTCAGAAAATTATCGTAAGTGATAGAAAATTTAGAAAAATCAGAGATCTGCAGAGGTAGAAACTTTCATTTCAGTGTACCATCTATAAATAAATCGATTTTAGAATGAATCGCATTTATTTTTAAAACAATGTAATTTTAAAAAATTGTATGGGTGGAGGCCATTTTTTTGGCGAAATTTTTTTAAATCTATGTTGTTTAAATGAATTTTGTAAAAATTGTATGGGGGCCATTTTGTAATATATTCGAAGCTAAATTTTTTTAAAATTATGTTGTTTAAATGAATCAATGAATTTTGTAAGTGAAAAATTATGCTAAGTTGGGGTGAAATTATTTTCAAAATTATAAAATTTATAATTAATTTTTTTTTATAATCGGCCTGGCCTAAGTTTTGTAAAAATATCAAATTAAGGCTCCGCCCAGTTTGTCATTTTTTAAGCTACCCGTATTTTTGAAATTAAACCATTTTACGGGTTGTCCCGGGCCGAGTTCCGGACCTGCAGGTTTCTAATAAACTGGAAATGACTAATTTATGTAATATTCTCTCTTTTTTAAAAAGAAACACATCAAATTAATACAATATCTTATTACCTCTTGATGTATAAAAATGAGTTAAAATAATGTTTATGAGTACATGATCCAGATCGCTTTTGCCCCATCTTTTCTCAATAACATATTGAGTTTAAAAAATTGAAGATATACCAGATACATACATAATGCTTGATATGGCAAGTCAAACTTTGTTTTTAACAAATTAAATCAAAAAAATTAGGCTAATGATGTATATAATATATATCTTATATTATATTCTCATCAATATAGTAGATGCATCATTAGAATATAATAAAATTTAGCCTAGTATATTAAAGCAAGTATGGATATATTTTTGGACTGTCAAATTTGGTTAACTACTGAAAACATTAATGTACTGTGTTAAGTATCCCATATAAATTATGCTCTTTCACTGAAAATCATATGTATCCAATGACAATTTGACTATATTCATTGGATAAAGTTTAAATATTTAAAGGATTTTGATATCCTCATTAAAACATTTAAGCAATGAAATTAGAGATTCACATGATTTGCATCCTTTTTCCAGAGGAGGCATATGCCCATTTGTCAGGGCGTTATGGGCGTCCGTTATTATAAGATTAGAGTATACTTCATTTCCTTTAATTAATTCTATATTTTTCATTTTTATTCCAAAAATGTTTTTAAAATATCTTTTACACGCTTAAACTTTTTTTTTAAAACATATAAAAGAAACTCTATTTTTCTTGTTCAAATCCAATTTATAATTTTCAAAACTTTTTTAAAATAGATCGTTTTTGTTGTTCAATAGATTTTGACTTATATTAAGAAGTTTTATAATCGATAAATGTTCTTTTTTACCATTTTTTCCTCTAGTTCAAAGTTTTATTTGTACTTGAGATTTGCCAACAAAAGGATCTTCTTAATAAAACATTTTTAGCCATACATAAATAAATAATGTACTTAGTTTAATAATTGCTACAATATATCTGTATTTATCATAATCATCTTTGAGAAAAAAAAAATTATATTTTAAGTTATAATTTTTTTAAAAAAAAATTTAGATGATGAATAAATTTTTTTTTTATGATTAAAGCTTTTAATTCTTTTATTATTGAATACCCAATCGTAATCGGTGACTTATAACAAATGCATTTTTGCGTTCCTGTTCCTAGTTAGGCAAAAATATGTTTCGTTCCGAGTTTTGGAATGCGTAAAAAATATCTAGTTCATTAATCCTATAAAGCCTACGGACAATAAAACCAGATAGGAAATTCCCCATAATTACTACGATATAACTATCATAAGGTACTATTTGTAAGAAATATTTTGATGAAATCAAAATCCTATTTAATTATTTATTTTTTAATATTTATTTCTATCTTTTAAAAAAATGATAAAAACAAATTTTGAAAGTGTAGTAAAACGGTATTTTCGGAAGAATATATTTTATTAACTTTATTAATTTATACAATAATTCCAAATTTACAAAACGGAAATTACTATTACAATTTATAATATCTTTATTTAAAAATGAATTTTCCAAAACTTTTGCAAAAATCTAATAATTATCGGGAAAAAAAAATATCTTTTATAATCTCTTAATTTATAAAATAATTTTTTTCTAAAACTTTAATAATGAATAAAAAAAATATCAAAAAATATATATTATTATAATTATCATTTTTTCTTTTAATATAATAATAATAATTCTCCACCAATCAGATGTATATAATCCATCTGATTGACGTTTAACAAAAGTAAATGGAAATACACGCTTTAATATAACATACTAGGACACAAATTATATCCACTATATCTTATAAACTCAATAATATTTCTTTATTAGAAAATATTAGAAATTTACACAGAAAACTGGTTCCTAAAATGGTTATTATAAATATAAAATAATGTCCCACCTGTTGCTCATCCTTGTACCACGTAATCATAGGTTCTGGGTGCCCCTCTGCTTTACAATAAAGTGTGACTGGTTCATTCGCATTGATCGTTATGTCTAATGGATTCTCTACGATTCGGGGCGGAAAATGAATTCCTATTTTTTATTTTTTTCAAAAAATAAAAAATTATATTATATAAATTTGGTTGCAGTTTAAAAAAAAATGAAAGAGTGAAGCCAGAGTTATTAAAATAAAATAAAATTAATAAAAGTAAAATGGTATAAATAGTTAAAAACTTAATTTTTAAAAAATTTCTATATTATACTATAATTTATGTTGCCACATTATGTCCAAAAAGAATATTGTTGCACCCGTATATAACAAAGATTTTTGGATCGATACAGTTAAATTTTAGTGAAAAATGATTTTTGAAACACGATATTTTAATCAACTTTAAAAAAGGAAAATTAGAGGGAGTTCGAATAATCTTTGCAACATCAGTGTTGTTAAAATTACTTTTAAAAAGTATAACTCAGAATTTGAAATCTGTCAAAGAAGGGTTCTGGTTCTGCAGATTCTTAAAAAAGTGGTAAACAATAAAAATTCAAAAGAGGATTATAGGCTCTTGTTATAAACTCTGGTCAGTCACATTACAACTTAGATTTTTTCCAAAAAATAGTTTAATAGGAACCCACGAATGTGGCAGGCATTATATTAAAAATAAACATAATTTTAGATTCCTAACCCTAATAAAATTGATAGGATAATGAGGCTATCCTTGTCCCGCATTACCTAACTAAGCAAAAATTTAGCACATATTTATAAAGATAAATTATTAGATAAAATATAATAAATTGATTTTGGAAGATAGATAAAAAGCAAATATGTATTTTTTTGGTTGAAATAGCAATTAACGTAATATTGCCCGTGGTGTCAACTTTTTTTAAATGGAATCAGAAAAAATTGAAAGATTGGCCTAGATGATTTTGTTTGTTACATCAGATTTTGATATTGTAAACCATGGGCAAGTTAAATCAAAAGTTTAATTAACATTAATTATCAAAAGGCGTGTTGTCATTGAATTTCAAAATGGTACGAAAAACCGATACTAATAAAAATAAATTTTCATAAATTCTTCGATACCAATGTATTGCCCTAAATTACCGATACATAATTGTACAATCATTTTTAGTAATAGAATATTTTTATAAATCACTAACATATTTGAAAAAAATATCAAATATTTAAAAAATAATATCGATACTAAATATTTTTAGTTGGTAGTTATCAGTGTTGTAATATGTAAATTCGTTAAATTTGTACTTTATATTTAATTTGCATAAAGAGTTCTTTTGGATTTATTATTATAACGCGTGATAAAAATATTATATTTGAATAGTGAGAACTGAAAATAATTTAAGTTATGAATATTATTTATAAAGAAGATTGAAAAAAGTATAAAAACTCCAATTTTTACCATTTGAAATGATCTTTTATAATTATTAACTTTTTTGTATTTTATTTTTTATTTTTATTAATCTTTTTTATTATTTTTACTTTTATAATTTTGTTAATTTGATAATGTTATAATTTTGAATAAAGGATTAATTGATTTCATGATTTCGTGATTCCTAATTATTATTAATTTCTTTTTATATATATATTTTGATTCACAATGACAAATCTCCTCATTGTGACAATCAGTAAAAATATTTTAGCGACACTGAATACTACAGGTGTGCTAGAAAAAACTTTAGTATTATATTTTATGAATAGTTGTACTATCTAGTTGGAAAAATTATCTGAAATGGGGAAATCCTTAGTTAATATAATTTATCAAATTAACAACTAATAATATATAAAAATATTATTAAGCTATAACAATGTAATAAAAGTATCGGGAAAGTATCCATGTTAAATATTGATACGTAAAAAACGATTTACAATTCTGATTATGAATTTTTAATAAAAATAAAAAAGATTTATAAGTACACTAAATAGACGTTAGGTCAAATTAATAAAAAAAAATAACATATCCAAATAAACAAGTTGCAATTATTTTTCCTCTAAAAAGTAACTCGTGGCTTAATAGGCGTATCCGGGAGGGGGGCAGAGGAAATTCCCCTTTCCTCCGTGAAATATGTCAGTCTTTGTGAATAACATTTTACGCGAATAAAAATATCCCCCACCCCCTGTCTTCAAAAATCCTCCGTGAATATGTCAGTCTTTGTGAATATCATTTTACGCGAATAAAAATATACCCCACCCCCTATCCCCAAAAATGTATGCATATATCTTATACAGTAATTTGAAAGAAAGAATAATGATACTAAGTTGTTTTTATTAAAATTAATCTATTTTCTAGCTATACATAAGCTAACGAAACCTAACCGAAGGCCCGCCAAAAGAAAGGTCTGAGAGCGAAACCCCCCAGAAATTTATTAATCCCTCCCCAATCAAAAATCCTACGCTTATGCGTTGCACAACATTAAGCTAAACATAATATAATCATATTTAACTATTTATCCCCCCCCCCCCACCCCCAGAATTTATTCGAATTGCAAATAGTTAAGATTTGGAATACCAATTTAAATATTTATACCCTTATCAAACGGAAACTATTTTGATCCTGATTTTCAACTTTCAAACCATATGGCTGCTCCTACTCCTATCTCTTCGTTATTCACTCTAAGTTTTAATAAAATTATTGTTCGAAATTAAAAAGTTTAACATATTTACAAAAATAATTTCTAGGCGAATAACTCCCATAAGAATTTACATAAATCATACGATCATAACTTCGTTTTTGTTGTTGTGTGAGTAACGCATCAAAATAATAACTGAAAATGATTTATATTTTACACAATGTACATGTCCAGTCAAACTGTGCATTAAAATGCAAGAAAATAGTTTCCATTTTTTATTATTTATATAATAAGATATATAGAATTTCAAGACATTATTCCTCGCTATGTATGGCATAATATACAAAAGTTATTCATAACTTAAGAAGTTTTAATTTTATATATCAAATGAATAATTCCTAATTATGAAAAACATAATGATCATCACGCAGAATTTTATTATCAAAAAGGAATCGATTTCAAGATTTTAATACTTTTCAAAAAAAGAAAATTAAATTTCCTTATTTTATCTTTTAACATATACACAAGAACCGATAACAATAAAATTCTACAAAGATTTTATTTTTAAAAAAATAAAAAAAACTTTAATCGAATAGATTAAGAACAAAAAAACTATTTAAAATTATAAATTTAAATTATTCATTTCAGAGGTCTGCAAATGGCAAAATTTAAAGGCTAAGGTACTGGTAGTTTCCAATTTTTTTATTAAGGTTAAAAGGCGAGGTTTTTTAAAATCCATGCTCTGTTAGGCCCTAGTTTTTTTTAAATATAAGACCTAACCCGAAATATTGAACGCCAAAATAAACAACTATTTATAGACCGCTCGGAATTTTTGATCACGCAGAAAACCACGCGGTATACGAAAATCAAGCTGGCGCATAAATTTTTTAAAAGTAATTTATACATTTTATACAATTTTATTGTAATGTGATCACTATTGTAATTGTATACTTTCTCCTAAATACAGTGGATTTCGGATGTGCTAGATCTTGATAGCACTGTTCCATACTCTTATATTGGGTTTTAAATTAGCGATTCCATTGATAATATGGTACTCAAAATGAGAAAATTAAATGTCACAGCAGATGGCATAATATATTAACTATGCTTGGAGGTATATCTAGAACCAGGCGCGTAGCCAATGGGGGTAGCACCTAGGCGCGTACCCCTCCCCCCTTAGCAAGAATTGTTGGAAAAATATAAAAGGGCTTCGTGTTGCAACGTATTCTATTTCAAATAGGTTATATTCGATATTAAATATTAGCAAATAATAATATTTTATCTCACGAAAATTTAAAGTTTATTTTCTTACATTTTTTAAACCTTAGACACTGATGGATATAAAGAAAATTTTATCAACCAAGAAAAATTCTATTTAATTTATCCCTACTGAAAATTTCTAAAGTGTATAAAATTTTCAGATATCCAAATAGGCAGAATTTGATTATAATTATTTCTGAGACTTTTTGTGCTACAGAAAAAAAGAAACTGCAAAGTCTGCACGACAAGAGCCTTTAAGAGCCTATTTTGAGTTACCTAGTTTTAAGCTAAATTCCTAATATTAAACAGGATCTAAAGGGCAAATAGTTAGGCTAATGGTAACATTGAATAATCTTATATCATAGACACAATAGCCAAACACCAAGGATATCCACTATAGAGGATTTTTTAAAATAAATGATAATAATACAATATAAAATTTTTAAGACGCTTTTTTAAAATCTAAAACTACTCATATATAAAATTAAATACTGCATTTCCCTCAAACTTCTAGTTCTGAGCGATTATTTATTAAGGCGAAGCTTATGCGTTATGATCGTCGTTCTAGATTTGCCCTTCCTTCACCATTTTTAGCCAACTTTTTTTATAGACAGTCATATTTTTTATAATAATAATATGAAATAGCTTTGTTACGGAGAATGAGTGAAATCAATTGATAGTAACATTCTCGTTTAAAAACGCGAAATGAAAATCTTTCTTATATAATTTAAAAGATCTTAAAACCATATTGATTAATGATAAAGGAAAGTAATAGTAATATTCAATTGAGTTTTTACAAAATTCGCTTAAAAAAAATCCCCAAATTGGAAATATTTAAGAAATTACCCCTCCCCTTTTTTAAAAAAAACTATTGAAATATGAGTATTACGTTACCTTCTATCAATATAATTATCTTCAAGATCTAGAATATATATAATTATTCTCAGTTTTGGTTTTTTTTTGCGTTTTGACCTCATATCATTGTAACTCCCCCACTTTTTTATATTCATCTTCACTATTTTTTTTAATTAAAATAAATCGTTATTGTGGGGTCAAATAGCCCAAATACATTTTTTCTTCAAATTTAATTATTTTACTTAGTTAGATTATATAAAATAATTAATATATAAATGTCTTTTTAAATTGGAACTAGATTTTGAAACTGATAGATTATTATGAAAATTGATTCCAGTCATCTCATCAACATTAGATTTGTGGTGGTTCATTTTTATTACGTAAAAGTATAATTA